CATGATACCCAAAGTTCTGCCATCCAGCCAGTTCTCAATCCACCTCACTGCCCACTCATCTAACCCACACCTTCTGAGCTTCCCCATGAGGATGTTATGGTGTTGAAAGCCTTTCTAAAGTCAAGGTAGACAACATCCACAGCTTCCCCCTCATCCATCCATTCATCCGTCCATCCATCCATCCATCCATCCATCCATCCATCCATCCATCCACCCAGCCACCCACCCATCCATCCACCCATCCACCAACTCACCCACCCATCTACCCATCCATCCATCCATCCATCCATCCATCCATCCATCCATCCACCCATCCATCCACCCATCCATCCATCCATCCATCCATCCATCCATCCATCCATCCATCCATCCATCCACCACCCATCCGAAGGGGCTGGTGCCTGTGGAGCCCAGACCAGGCAGCGTGTCCCACTCACTCCCACCCGGTGTCCCAACAGTGCCATTTTCCCCGGCCACCTTCCCTTGGGGACATGTCCTGCCCAGGGGACGGAGGCACCCGCAGTGCCGGGCACAGCCCCGGAGCTGCCGGAGCTGCCGGGCTGCCCGCCCGGCGGGAAGGAGCTAATCCCGGCTCCGATTAGGCAGAGTTCCCAGCAACGGAGGCTTCTTCTTTCTCCTTCCCCCCCCACCCCGCTTCGGTGATAACAAATAATAATATAATCCCCTTAATCCCTCCCCGAGGAGCCGGCGCGCACACCGAGACAGGAAGCGCGGCGCTTCTGCCGCCGCTGATAACTCGCCCAATCGGGGCCCCTGGAAAACACGAAATTTGGTGCTTTTGCTGCATCGCCTGCCGAGAAAGGCCCGGCCGCGTCCACCCGGGCGAAGCCTCCGCCCGTCCCGCCGCTGTCACCATCCCTGTCCCCTTCCCGGCGGCTGCAGCCCTGCAGAGCCCAAGGCGGCAGCCGCTCGCTCGCCCGTTATAGGGGCCACCTGCGCCTGCGGGCAGCTGGTCCCGGGCAGGGGCACTGCCGGCTGCAGGGAGCCCCCAGGCCACGCGGGAAGGGCTTTGGAATTGCGCTGGGCTCCCCGTACTCTTGTTTGAGCCATGTGCCCGGCAGCCTTGTGCGTTCCTGCACCGCGGTGCGGCCTCTGCCCGCCTGCAGGCACCGAATCCTGCCTGGGCAATCGCCCCCGCGTCCATCCCGCCGCTTCCCTGCTCCGCCGAGGGCTCCCGCGGCTCCGCGGTGCCCATGGAAGCAGCCGGGAGCCGCGAGGCCAGCGCCAGGGTCGTGGGGATGATGCTCTGGGGAGCCCTAATGGGCTCCAGAGCACTCGGCCCGTGCGGTGCCTGTGTCCCGTCTGCCCTTCACCGGCGGGAACATCCCTTGGGAGCGGGGCTGCCACCCCCAGCCCGTCCTCCCGGAGTCATCCAGCCAGGAGCGCTCCAGGATGCCGGCACATCCCTGTTCCGGCTCCGCTTGGCCGCGTCGCTGCCACGGGAGAAGCACGAGCGCGGGCGGAGGGGACGGAAAGGCCACCGGGTGCCCTCGGCGGGGACCCGGCTC